AAGGCCCACTTCACCATGTAGACTTCGATCTAGACACCTGTCATGGCAAAAATACCTAATAATATATCCCTTTTAAACAGTTCTCTCCCTCATCTGTTTCAATGCAGTATACATTATTTATTCCATCTTTCTCAGTCTCTCCCCAACCCCTATGTTAGTCCTGTTTTACAACAGTGGCACCATGCAGTATTTGTCCTTTTGTGACTTAGATACTTCATTCAGCATAATGTCCTCCAGGGTCACCCATTTTGAATAATATTGCATGAGTTCCTTGTTTTTCAATGCAGCATAGTATTCCATTGTGTGAATTTACCACAGCTTCTCTATCCATTCATTTGTTGATGGGCACTTAGGTTGTTTCCAACTCCTTGCTATTGTGAACACAGCTGCAATAAACATGGGAGTGCATATATCTGCTTGGATGTCAGTTATGATCTCTTTGGGGTGTATTCCCAGTAGTAGAATTGCTGGGTCAAATGGTATCTCTATTTGCAACTTTTTGAGAAAGTGCCATACAGCCTTCTACAGTGGTTGCACCATTTTACACTCCCAGCCACAGTGAATAAGGGTTCCAGTTTCTCCACAACCTCACCAGTATTTGTTGCTTGCTGTTCTGATAAATTTTGCTGTTCTGACTGGGGTGAGATGGTAACTCCTAGTTGTTTTCATTTGCATCTCTCTTAGAGCTAGGGATTTTGAACATTTCTTCATGTACTTGTTAGCCATCTGAATGTCTTCTTTAGTGAAGTGTCTGTTCACATCCTGTACCCATTTGTCTATTGGATTATTTACTTTTATCTTGTTGTGGTGTGAATGAACATTTTTTTTTAAAAGAAAGTGAACTAGGGGAGAAGGGAGGGTATGGGTGGAAAATGTGCATCAATGAATGAATGAAAATCCAAATTTTCTGCAAACTTTTGTGAAGAACCATATGTTTCTCAAACTTATTCTCTTCAAAGAGACCTTCAAATTCTCAAAGATTTGACTTACCTCTTTAATAATCAATATCCTTTTTTTGTCATGTTCTCTATTTGACGCTTTCGAGCCGTGGTGTTGGAGAAGAGCACTGAACATCCCTGGACAGCCAAGAGAACAAACAGATATGTCTTGGAGACAGTGCATTTGGAGCACTCTTTGGAGTCAAGAATGATGAGGCTTCATCTCAGATACTTTGGACATGCTGCTTGGAGGTGCTATTCCTTGGAGAGGGACATGATATTGGGAAGGGTAGAGGGTAGAAGAGGATGAACCAGGAGGATGACATGGTGACAGGTGCAATAGGCTCTGGGATGTCAGGAAGTGTGAGGATGGTGCAGGACTGAACAGCGTTCAGATTTTTAAAATTTTTTATCTATCTATCTATCTATCTATCTATCTATCTATCTATCTATCTATCATCTATCTATTTATTAGATCTTTTGTTCATAGGGTTCCTATCAGTTGTGCTTGACTTGATGGCACCTAATAACAAGAGTCATATTGGACTTGTTGGTACCTAAGAACAACCACATTTGCCCATTCATAATACCTTAATGGTGTATGTGTAACATGTTAGACAAAAGGTGAGTGGTCCAAATCCACAGATTTTTCACCACCCTTACTTCTAATGAGCATCCAGGTTGCATTTCTTCCAAGACAGATTTGTTTGTTCTTTTGACAGCCCATGAGATATTCAACACTTTTTTGTCAGTGCAATTTAAAACCACCAATTCTTCTTTGATCTTCCTTATTTATTGCCCAACTTTTATTTGCATAAGAAGTGATTGAAAAGACCATGGCTTGAATCAAGTACATCTTAGTCTTTAAACTAACATCTTTGTTCTTTAATAGTTTAAAGAGATCTTAGAATTCCTATGGGCAGTTTGATTTTGTCTTACAGGGTTGCTATTTCTGGAGGTAACTCAACAGTAGGGTGGTTAGACCTGTGAGTGATAGCTGGTTCTATGAAAGTAGATGCCAGGCCTTTCCTCCAAAGAGCTGCTGAGTGGGTTCAAATTACCATCTTTTAGGTAAACAGCTGAATGTACAGAACTTATGCCACCCAAGGTCGTCTGTGTGTGTGTGTGTGTGTAAGCGCGCGCGCGTGTGTGTGTGAAGATCAAAGCTATAAAAGTCTTATTGAGCAATTCTACTCTAACACACTTAGGTCACCATGAATCAAAACTGTCTCAACACTAATAGTGGGTGGTTTTCTTGTTTTTTTTTTTTTTTTAATTAGGATAGCAGAAATAATTTGTCCTTACCTAACAATCCCTTGGAGAGGGACATCATGCTTGGGAGGGTGGAGGGACAGCACAGGAGAGGAAGGCCCTCTATGAGGTGGATTGATTCAGTGTCTGGGAAAAATTGGGATGGGAGTGTTGGAGACAGTGTGATTGGCACAGGACAGAGCGGAGTTTAGGGCTGTTGTATATAGGGTGGCTATGAGTCGCAAACGACTCGACGGCACATAACAACAACAACCTAACAATCTTCTGGTGGCCTAGTGGTAAGGAGTTTTACTGCCAATGCAAAGGCAGGTGGTTTGAATCCACCAGCTCCTCTGAGGAAGAAAGATGGACAATTTTCTTCTATGCAGTTTACTGCCTTTGACAATCTACTGGAGAATCAGCTATGGATTGGTTCAGATTTGAAGGTACGTAACAACAACAATAATCCTCTAGTGGCCTAATGGTAAGTGTTGCCTTGAGAACCCAATCATACACAATTTGAATCCACCAGCTACTCCAAGGGAGAAAGATGAGCAATCTCTTCTCCAGCAATTTACTGCCTCTGAAACCTGCTGGAGGGTCAGCTATGAGTCGGTTCCAATGCATTGCTACACAACAACAATCTTTTTTTTTTCTATAGTTATATTTTATTAATTTTCATAAACATTTACAGAGATTTTGGGCTTCCACTCATTCATTGTTGCACAATTCTCTCTACCCTCCTCCCAGTTTGTTCTTGTCCAAATGCCACAGTGCTTGTCAAAGCCAGTTCTGATTAATCTTCTTTGTCAGTGTATCCTTTGCCATTCCCTATCACTCCTCCCTGAGAGAGACTTCACCCTGAGTCATAAGGAAAAGGGGACGGCGTATTCTCTTAGCTACTTCCTGCTGAAAAGGGACGCTGTGGGTTTCAGGGTGAAGATCTTCTCTCACTACTCTAAAGGGCCCCTTTGGCAGTAGGAAACACATAGACTATTATGGAGATTGATTTTGGAATTCAGATGCACTCTTATTGATTGTGCTTGGCTGTACATGTACATATCCTTGAAGATGTATCATGGGGGTGTTGCAACCTAGAAGACACAAATTTGACTAACAAGTTATAAGTACATGAGTCCAAAAATTATGGAAAAGTAAAAGAAAAGATTCTTTCATTGTTTTACAAACCCTCCCTCAGGTCCCCTCCACTATGCAGCCATTGCTCTAGTCTCCTGACAACAACAATCTAAAGAGAACTCTGGTGGTCTAGTCTGTAGTGAATTGTGCTACCAACTCAAAAGTAATATCTCTTTGCCAGAAAAATATGGACAATCACCATCCATGCGATTTACAACCTCTCGAAAACCCACTGGAGAGTCAGCTATGAGCCGGTATGACCTCTTAGTAATGAACTTGGAGTTGTTTTTTTTTTTAAATAATCTAAAGGTTAATCATCAACACTCTTGACACCAGCAGCCAGGAAATAAAAAAATGTATTGCGATGGGAAAGTCTGCTGTTAGGGACCTCTCTGAAGTACTGAAGAGCAACGGTGTCTCTTTGGAGACTAAGGTGCGCCTGATACAGGCCATGGTCTTTGCAATCACTTGTTATGCATCAGACAGTTGGACAATGACTAGGGAGGATAGAAGGAGAATTGATGCCTTTGAGCTGTGGTGCTGGAGAAGAGTATTGAATGTACCATGGACTGCCAAGAAAACAAACAGATTCATCCTAGAAAGGGTTAAACCAGGCTACTCCTTGGAGGCAAAGATTCTGGGGCTTCGTCTGATGTACTTTGGTCATGTTGCAAGGAGAGACAGGTCTTTGTAGAGGGACATCATGCTTGGTAGAGTAGAGGGACAGCGCAGGAGGGGAAGACCCTCTATGAGGTGGATTAATTCAGTGACTGGGGTAATCGGGATGGGTGTGTCAGACGCAATGATTGGCACAGGATAGAGCAGGGTTTAGGGCTGTTGTACATAGGGTGGCTATGAGTCGCAAACGACTCGACGGCACATAACAACAAACAACAACAACAACAACAAAGGTTAATAGTTTCAGTGGTGCCAGGGAAAAAAGTCTGACTATTTGATTTGGTACGATTACAATAATTGAATACCTTCTGGAGTGCAGGTTTATTCTGAAATAAATGTTGTTGTATGAATTCACTGGAAGTCAATGAATTGTTTTTTTGTTTTTTGGTTTTTTTTTAGTTTGTTTGTCCTAGTTGTATTTATTTTTCTTTCAGCCTGCTTTCAGTTAGACTGTGAGTTCCGTGAGGCTTTGTGTATTCCATTTGCCATGGTGTTCACGGGAAGCAAGCATGGTGAAACTTCTTCGTCTTACATTCTCGGGGCATGTTGTTATGAATGGTCAGTCTTTAGTAAAGGACATTAAGCTGGGAAAAGAGGTCAGCAAAAAAGATTAAGAACCTCAATGAAATGGATAGACATCGTGATTGCAACAATGGGCTTTGAACTTGCTCTTGAGGATGGAGCAGGATGGGGTTGCTATGATTGATTGGGTATGCTAATTGATTACTTCACAAGATCCCTCTAAGGGCATTCCAATAGATGGTGCATAAATAGTTGCTGAATTGAATGACTGCTTGAACGACCACACTGGGCACCTCCTTCAGCTTCACAAAAGGCACCATTTTTTTGGCTCCACTCGCTGGAGCCCTGTCACGTGACTGGCAGCTGCCTCCAGCCCACCCTCCCTGCAGCCGGCGACGTCCGACGTCCACGTGGTCCCGGCTTGGCCGGCGCCGGTGCTACTGCGCAGGCGCGGTCCCCGCGGCGCAGGCGCAGACGCGTCCAGAGCGCGGAGCCGGCGGGCCGTTGGTGGCGCGCGGGCCCGGCGGGCGTTAGGCTTGAGCGGAACCCGAGCTGCGGCAGCTAGCGCCGGCACTATGGTGGAGAAAGAGGAGGCTGGCGGCGGCATTAGCGAGGAGGAGGCGGCGCAGTATGACCGGCAGATCCGCCTCTGGGGGCTGGAGGCCCAGAAACGGTCAGGGCCCGCGCGGCCGGAGGGACTGAAAGGGCGGGATGGAGAAGGGGAGGAGGCGTTCTTAAATGTGGAGCCTCAGCGGCCCGGAGGGGATGGGAGGTTCTAATTTGGAGCGAGGAGGCGGGAATTAAGGTGGCCGGGGTTGGGAGCGCCCTGGAGAGGGACCAGCGCGGTCCTAAAGGGACCTCTCGGGAGCGCATGAGCAGCAACAGTCCCCAGGTGGCGGGAGGTCGGTTTGCAGCGGCTGGAGCCTTTCTGCGCGCGGGGAATGGCCAGGGGAGATCCGCGGACTCGGGGGGCAGGGTGTTTGTGTTTCCATTCAGGTGTCAGACGCAGGACAGGCGGCACTTAAGGTCCTGAAATAGACGAGGGAGGTGAGGGAGGTGGCGAGTCCGTCGTTCCTGCTGTGCTTCATTCATCCACGGGCTGCGGGAACCTGTGGAGCCCTGGATGTGGGGGTGACAGGTGACCCCCCAAAAAACAGTCCACGAGGTGACCTCCTTACAGGCGGGCAGTTGAAAGATTTTGAGACGTTAGGGGCCAGGTCACCCCCAGAGAGAGTGAGAGCCTCTAGGGAGGCAGGGAAGGTGGGAGGGCAGGTGGTACCTGTAGGTTGGAGAGATGCCTTGCGTCTGGTATGGGGTCTGTGCCAGGTGCTAAATGGCGACATTGTCCTGGATATTGAGGTGCCTCTCTAGGAGAGAGAGGGATGCAGGAGCAATCGGATCATTTATTGAGCTATCAGTGACTGCAACTGGTTTATTATTGTTTTGTTTTGGGTTTTTGGTTATTGGGTTTTTTTTCCCTCGCATAGAGTTTACATTCTTTTTTTAATTTTAATAAAAATTTGCAGAGACTTTGGATTTCCATTAATTCATTGTTACACTTTTCTCCCTGCACACCCCTCCCCCCCGCCCCCAGTTCGTTCTTCTCTTTGAAAAGTAAAAATTTTTTCATTGTTGAGTTTACATTCTGATGGAAAATTTTCAAAAAAGTATATATTTGTATTTGAGGATCTGTTGTTGTGTGCCTAGGGGTCAAAACTGACTACATAGCTGACCTTTCAGATTTTTCTGAGAGTCTTAAATAACAAGGGAGGAGAAGGCCTTTCTCTCTCTCTCTCTCTC